AGCACACGATAAATCCTTCAGACGGAATGACCTTGTGTTAAGTAAATTCTGCATAACTGTCTAGTATCTAAAAGGGCATTGGACGTAGAACATTATTCTTGCGAAAATGGTTTAAAATTCCTTCTTACACACACACATATTCAACCCCCTTCTATGTGTTTCGTGTCTAACTTCAACTTTGCACAAAGTCATTGGATTCCTAACGCTCTAGGACCAAGGTAATGACACTCTGCACAAAGCCTTTGGATTCCTGACGCAATGAGACAAATTAATTCAATTTTTTTGCACTATATATACACTACATACGTTCCAACCCTAAACACACAACAAAAGATCATTTCTCTTCAGCTATTGCACTCTTCAATTTCGTTGCTATTGTTTTTCAAGAATGTCTTCTTCATCTTAAACTATGTTGTGGAAACAACACCTCCATAGATCAAATGAAACTCATCTTATGGTAAGTTAATATATATTGCATAATTTTTACAACTAATATTATTCATTACTAACATTTCAATTCTACCATATTCGCAGACAACAAGTTCTCAAGTAATTCAATCTTATTATCATTCCATGCCTACACCTAACCTAAGAATTGAGCATTTGTTGGAGGTTGCTGGCTTTGGCGAAGTTGCCAAAATTAGACATTTTAAAATCAATGATTGTCTGATAATGTCTTTGGTGGAGAGGTGGAGACCTGAGACACATACTTTTCATCTCCTAGTTGGTGAGTGTACGGTCACTTTGGAAGATGTGGCATTACAATTGGGTTTGAGGATTGATGACAAAGCAGTCACAGGACCAATTTTCTTTGACTAGGATGAATTGTGTTATGAGTCGTTAAGCTTCGTACCTTTGAAAGGGGAAGCTCTAGTTGGCTCAACCATAAAACTAAAATGGTTAAGAGACCATACAATTGTACTACTAGATGAATCCACTGAACAACAATTGCACCAACATTGTAGGGCATATATCTTAGGGTTGATTGGTGGTGTCATTATGCCAGACAAGTCAGGTAACAAACTTTACTTAATGTATTTACCACTGTTGGCTGACTTGGAACGTGCATGATGATATAGTTGGGGGTTCTGTTTGTTCGACACATTTGTATAGAGAAATGTGTAAGGAAATTTATCCATCGTTAAAGAAAATGGGTGGATGTCCTTTGCTTCTGTAGTCTTGGGCTTAGTATCGCATGCCCTTCATCCAACCAAGAGTTCAACGAGATATTACATTTCCACTAGCATTGAGGTATGAATTAATTTTTATATCACTTTAATACATCGAACAACTACATTCTACCTAAAATTTTATCAATGTACAAATTTTTTAGGTGGTCAGGAAGAGAGCTAAGATTTACAGGCATGCCCCATTGAGACTTACTTGGCTACAGATTAAGATATGACAATATGAATCATAACGAGGTAATACGATGTCAAATTCTCTCACACATACTCTCTTTTATTCAATTAATTTATACCCTAAACCTTTTTCTTTTTCAGTTTCTATAGATGCCATATAAGGAATTTCAGTCCTCGCTACCAACACATGCTTATAAGGATTCTAGAATATGGACTTCTTGTACTGCTTTAACTTTATTTGCAGTTGTAGTCTGACATCAAAGTGACAGAGTCCAATTACAATTTGTCTTGTGGCAACCAATCCCCAATGAAGCCCATAATCTTGATAAAATGCATGAAATAGACATGAGATGACATAGCGACACCAACTAGGATGAACAACATGCGGGTTAGATTTTCATTTGGAAAGACAGACGCAAACATGTTATTTTTGGGGAACCACTTGAAGGGCCTCTCCAACACACTCCTGAGTATTTGCAATGGTTTCGTGTTAATTCAAAATTATTTTTTTGTAGTCAATATTCTTCATCTCGTGCATCCACTTCTAGTACACAACTCCCAACAATTATAGGATTTCAATAACATTTTCCAACACCATCACAAACCCCAGTTGTTGGAGATAACCACCCACCTTATAGTTTGGAACAACATCCCCAGTCTCTTTCAATGAATCCACCATTTCATACACACCATGAACAATTCATGTACACCCCACCATCAACAACAACTCCAACAGGGGACTTCATGAGCAATCTTTTTGGCGTTGGCATACACACGCCACATAGTGCATATAATTACATGCAAAGCATGAATTTTCCTTCATTTTATTCTTATCACTCTGAGGTCGATGGAAATGCTTCGTCAAATCCAGCCACGGATATTGTTCATATAGAACATGATGAAGGGCAAGTTAAACCACAACAACCACACATTGGTCGTCGAAACCCAATGAGGAACCGACAACCTTCGAGGTGTGAAACTTGTGGGCATAAACATCATTAAACTACCTTGCTGTTATGTAATTTGGTGGATTGTGATTGTGTTGTTGTTCTTATTTATTCTGTAACATCCCGAATTTTCTACTAATACAATAGTTAATTATTATTTTTTATATTTATGGAAATCATCTTCTTATATTTATTTTTATTAATAAAAGAGATTTTATAGAACATTTTAAAGATTTTTTTAATAATTTAAATATTTATAAAAAAAATTAATTTTTATATGAAATTATGTTTTTTTAGGCCTAGAACGGGCCGTTTCAAAAAACAGAACAGCCCGTTCCCATAAGCAAAACGGGCGTTCCAAAAAGTGGAACGGACCGTTCCAGAATAATAAAATGGCCTAAAATCCTAAGTTAGAAACGGGCCGTTCCAATTATGGTCAATGTGTGTTAAAATCAACCCTAGAACGAGCCGTTCTGATTTGGAGAACGGGCCGTTCTAATTTTGAGAACGAGCCATTCTAGTTTTGAGAACGGGCCGTTCTAGTTGTAAATTTTGCATATAACTGATGGGTCCAGAACGGGCTGTTCTGGTTTGAGAACGGGCCATTCCGGCCACCTCTAAATGCCTATAAATAGGAGGCTCAGGCTTGTTTTGAAATCATACTATTCACTTTTGACTTCTTCTTCTTCTAACCTTTTAAAGACCAAGGAGAATTCAGAGGAGGAGATTAGCAAGGTTCTGCTCTAGTTTCAGCTTCTGCTTATCGAGGTAAGGGGGGAGTGAGAGAACTCGCTCGAGGGTGTGAGAATAATTGTTGAGTAGTCGAATTGGCCCCTAATCCCTTGCTTGATGCATGTTTCTAGGAATGTGAAAAGTATGAATATGTTATGTTTTACTTTTTGATTACTCTGCTATGTTCCTTGTTAGAGATGATGAATGAATATGTGATTAATTTTGAGAATAGATAAATTTCAATATGAACTAAAGTGCTCTATGAATTCCTGTGCGAACCTTATGAGGTAATAAGTGAAATGTTGAGTTAATGAAATAGTGAATGTATGACATGCATCATATACATATATAACTCCAGGTATGCCGCTTAGGCCGCATACCAGTGATGTACAAAGATATTTTAGGTGTACCTTAGGGTCACCAGTGATGTAATCAACTAACAAGGTGTACCTTAGGGTCACTAGTGATGTAACAAGCTAACAAGGTGTACCTTAGGGTCACTAGTGATATAACAAGCTATGTGATGAAATGACTTATTCCAAGTGTGCCGCTTATGCCGCATACCAGTGATATAACAAGCTATGTGATGAAATGATGAGAAATGTGAAACTTCCGTATGGCGCCACATGCATGCATTTATGAGTCGAGTCCATGACATCATGCATGATAAATGAGTGTGCATGTGATATTGATTGTGTATGTGTATTGTTTACATGTGACTTATATTTGTTGTGTGTGTGTGCTATCTAACATTTATTTCTACATCTGAATTAGAGTGAGATGTTTCTCACTCCCTTGTTATTCTTGTACATGTTTAAATTGTGTTGCAGGTGATCATCATCATGAGGATGTTAGTGATGAGGCTTAAGGTTTCAGTTGGGCATGCTCTGATAGGATATGTGACATCGGGGCATAACTAGGCTTAGTTTAGGATGTTATTGTTTTAAAAACCTTAGTTTCTTTTCTTTTGTAATTTCTAGCGAAGGTATAACGTAAATGAAGTCTATAGTTGCAGTGATTGAATCCAAGGAAAATGTATGTTGAGAATTGTAATTTTGAATGTTCTTGATGAAATGCCAAAGTGTGTATCTTTGTTAGAGTTTTATTACATGATTTGGAAGTTATAAATTAATTCCTAACTAGGAGGCACTGCCACCTTTACTGGAATTAATCTATATTTCCTTTATTATTTTTTTTATGATTTCTTGAGTTTTGATACTTACATGTTGACTTTTTTTTATGGTTTATGAGTTATGAATGTGAACCTTCTATCTTATGATATTTGAGACATTTATTTTATCCATGAAAGATGTTATCAACTATGAAAGATTTTATTTACTCAAAAAGAAAAAAAATTATTGTTTACATTTATTGTGTATTAATGTTGGGGTAGAGGGTATCACATATTCGATCTCCTATTTTGTTGTTGTTATTTTGTTCTTATTTAAAGTTATTCATCTCAATTATAGTTGTTCTTATTTAAAGTTGTAAATTTTAAATTAAATTATCTCTATTTTTAAAATAAATTTCTTTTTAATAAAATAAATAAGTTTTAACATTATCTTTATTTTTAACATAAATTAAAAATATTATACATAAATTTGAAAATTAAAATTAATTATAAATTTTTTTAAAAAATCTGAAAATAAAAAAAATATTTTTTTTAAAAATCTGAAAATCAAAAAATAAAAAATGAAAAAAAGTCCAAGTGAGAAATTCGATTTCTCATCGGGATCTTGAAATTATTTTTTCAAATCCTGTTGAAAAATTGGTTACCTAGTAACCGATTTATTATCTAGACCTAAAAATGGGTAATTTAAGTAAATAAAAACTGGCCCGGATCATTAAAATAAAAAATTTTTTTAAAATAAAAGTCTATTTCCTCCAAAGTGAATTAACGAACCCGCTTAAAATTGTAACACCTCAGACAAATTTTTTTTTTAGACGGTGACGTTAACGATTTCCGTTTCCTTTTACAAGTTAGTTTTTGGCCTGAAGAGGTTGCTGGGTACTCTAGTCGACCGTTTCGAAGCAAGGTTCACACACTCATAGCAGAAGCAACAAAACCTTAAACTCATGTCGTAAAGTCCCTTTTCACTTTCCATTCAAACACACACAAACACTTCGCAGGGTGGAACCAAGATAAACAAATGTTGAGGGCCAAGTTGGTTCGTTCGGGAAATGATACTCTGCGAATCGCAGCTTTCTTCTTCAAGAACCTCAAGAGAGCTCAAATCCTTCACACTGACATTTCCTCTACAGTTGGTTAGTCTTCTGTCTCCCTTTTCCTCTCTCTTTTTCGGTTTTTACGTGGTTTTGGAGGAAATGGCGGATATCTTTCATATTTTTATTGTTTTGCTTTGGAAAATTCTAGACTTTGGTTGGATTGTCTCATTTTTCGTTGATAGACATGAAGGTGTTTGTTTGTTTTTGCTTTTGTTGTTGCTTTAATTCCGCAGAATGGTGATGGGTGTTTTGACATTTTTGTGGTTGTTTATGTTGTCTGTGATTATTAGTAGTTTGGGAAATTGGTTGGTAAGGGGCAGTTTTAGTTGGGGTTAGTTGCAAAATTGCTGATGTAGCTCTGCTGGCCGGTGAAAATTAGTGGTGGGAGGCATTTTTGATTATGGGATTCTGAATTATTTTATTGGTCCCAAGATACCCTTTGGCTTTTGGTTTAACAGAATGGTGTTAACTGTTAACCCTCTAAGCAAAAAAAAAAAAAAAAATATAGCTGGTGTGGTAAAATATGATGAAACTTCCGTGGCTTCAGTTTTTTATTTTATTTTAATTTTAATGATTGTTTACAATTTGCATGTCTGTTATATATATGAAGCAGTTATCCTATGTGCCAGTAGGCATGATTGTTAAATCCTAAATCCTCTTAAAGTGTGGAAGTTATTGGAACTGAATTTGAGTTTAAGGAGAGCAAATAGCAGCGATTTTGGATGTGATCATGGTCACATTGTTAGTTGAAAACAAAAAGGGTTTTGGAGAAAATGAATCTGATTTCTAATTTTCTATTGATAGTGTATGAACTTACGGATGTATACAAGGGGAAGTTAACTTAACAGTAGCCTAATAGAGTGTTACAAACTGCTACTAATGGAAAGGCAACTAACGTTGATCTACATTACAATCATCCACGTAGAAGGTAGAAGGAGGTACATGTCGCAAAACTGCTACTTGATACTCGTATCAACTAACATTGTCAACAACTTATCTACATGGATGATGATTATATCATGTTATGGTATGTCTGCTATGAGGTTAAAAACGGATGTGTAAAGCTCATGAACCAGTTTCATTTGTATTAGTATTAAAAAACCTCTGCTGCCACTCACCCAACTGACTGAACTGGCCTTCCATTTCAGTGAAATATTCTAGTTGTTACAAGATGGCTAGTTACGACAAATAATATTCCTGGCCATAAGACAAGGGGTATGAAAAATCATCCTTCAGTTTTTCAAATTCATACAAACTGACTCTTAATGTTGTGGTGTTGGTGTTATCGTTGGTTTACAAAAAGATGAAATAAAATAAAAATTTATGTTGATAGAGAGCTTAAAAATCAGAGTCAAAACAGAACCTATTTTTATAGCGAAATTTACAAACAGTAATTTTTTGGTAAATATTTATAGTTCAGGACAATTAGTTACTAAAGTGTTTATTCATCAACCACTTATAAATGAGGAGTCTATTATTTATTCCTAAACTGGAATTATGCTAACCTTGAATTTTATTTATTTATTTATTTACTTTTGCAATTTACTTAATTCTATATTCTGTTTAATGGTTTCTGCATTCAGAACAGTCCTTTATGATCTTTTCATTTGCATCTAATGGTCCCTATTACATCGGGGAAGAGTTTAGGTTAGGTAGTTTGTGATGATTCTTTTAATGTTGTTGTGACTTCTCCATTTTGGATGAATAATCTACTCTCAGATTTTCCATTTCATGTTTCTACTAGGTTTTGGGTTTTGTCTATGTAAAAGTTATGAAGTGTGCCTCTCTTATTTGAAGTGTTGCAGAGTAGGGAATGTTTTTGATACCGCCACCTGTTTAACATTCATGGGAGATTATTCTTCATTAGGTGTTTAATTACAAAGTTATTTTTGTTAGTTCAGACACGAGTCAACACGTCCATATAGATGGAACCATACTAATAATAAAAAGTATTCATTTGTGTATCTCTTTCCCTGTTGGTTTATATATATATGTGGTGGCTCAATATTTTAGACATTTGCCATGTTGGAGTCTATGTGTCCGTGTTGTGTCAGGTATTCATGTCAAAGTCTGTGCTTAATATGTTACAACTAAGAAAATGAACATAGTTGGTAGGTCTTGTTTAAAGGTTGAGTATCATGCAATATTAGCAGCAACCTGTGAACATACTTGGTTATGGCAACCACTTCTGCTGCTCAAACTGGGTGAGAATAAGGAAATGGTAGTGATTTGTGACAACCAAGTTGCTTTACATATTGCTTCTAACCTAATCTTTCATAAATGAAACAAACGAAGATATTGACTAACATTTTTTTTCTTCTGAGAAAAGGTTCTTTCAGGAGTTAATTACTGGTTTTGTGAACTCCAATAATCAGTCAGCTGTTATATTAACCAAGTTCCCTAGAGGGCCTCGGGTTGATTTTATTTGTCACAAGCTTGGTGCTTATGACATATATACTCCAATTTTTGGTTGAGTATTAGAATTAAGCATTTATGATAAATAGTAATAGCTTTATTTACTCATAGGTGATTACTATTTAGTACTGATCAACTCTAATTTAAGAGACGATTGCTCTTATGATTAATACTGTAAATTATATGAAGATACACATGTTTTGACTGATTAGTCACAAATTTTTCCTCCTAACTTCTCCTTATTCTATAGTCTTTGCCATATGGATGTTTATATCGTATTGATTTTGTGTGGAGTGTGGAGTTGTTGGTTCAATCCTGATTTAGAGGAGACTATATTTGCCAATGGGAAAGGTCTTGTTGGGGACAAGGGACCCTCTTCCCTGTGTTCTTGGAACAACCCATGCAGCAACTGTAATATTTAGCTTTTTATTTTTTCTTTACTCAGTCAAATATGAAAAATGTTAAACTAGTTAGTTTTATTTTCTCTTATCAAGTGGTTACTTATATTAGAGATTGGTAAGAGCATTTTTATATAGATTATGTTTGCTGGTGCTTGGTCCTGTCAGTTAAAAAAAATTATTAAGAATGTTTTAAGTTCTGTTTATAATCAACCTTGGGAATTTCAGGTTAATGTTATGCTATTGTTTTGCCATTCTTTTTGTTTCATTTTTACCTTCTACAGACAAGATTTTGCAAGATGAAGTGAATGTTGTATCATATGGAGTACTGGGCTATCTTCTTCTTGGTGTTGTCAGAATATACTCAAAAAAGGTTGAATATGTTCTCCATGATTGCGAGGTGCTCATTAAAATCAATAAATTTGTGATCAACACAGAAGACATTACACATGTGGAAACCTTGCGTATGTCTATTACTATACCAGACAAATTAGAGTTGGATGCTTTTGAGTTGGATATACCTGAAGATGCTGTCGGGTAAGGTTTTATTAGGTTAGAACTTAGAAGTTTAAATGGTTATGGAATTTTCTTTTGGTTTTTGATCATTTCATTACTTATCTTTTGTTGTTTCAGAGACCATATTGCTGCTCCGGAAGAAATTACTCTTAAAGGTATTGGAATTATTTCACTATTTTTTTATTTCATAGTAAGTTTAATGTTATTCTATTGTTTAAGTAATATGTTGTGAAATGAAACAGAGGTTGTGTCTAGAACTGAGGGATTTGGGCTATTGTCTCATGAGAAGGTATGCATTCCATAGTTGTTGATAGGTGCTGCATTGAAATGTTTCAGGGTGACCTAGTTAAATTGAATTATTTCTTAATTGTACTCATTATATGTTATAGGCTTGTTGTTTCAGGACTTCTTCATGTTTTTGATGGTTTTAAATTTACATAAAATAGAAAGAGAAAAACCTTATGTTATTTTCTTGATTCTGCACATCCTAAATATCTTAGTCTTTGTAATTTTCAGTTTGAGGAGTTTGATTTTGGAGAAAGTACCTGCACTTTTGATCACCATATAGTGGAAAAGTATGCCCTTCAAATTTATGAAGATTTTTATTTTCTTTATTCCATCATAACCTGCTGCTGTTTGTTATTTGGAATTATTGCATATCTTATTCATTGAACTTATTTAATTGTGTAATATACTTGGCAGTGTTCGTCTATCTCAAATGTTGATGGAAATTGAAGTTTTTCCACAGAAGAGTCCGATTGGTTTACTGGAAAGCAGGGATACATGTCAAAGTAGCATATTTTCTCCAAATGAAGTAACAAACTTTGACAATAGTTCACTAATAGCAGGAGTAGAAAAAGAATCAGCCAATTTGTTGGGTCAAAATCAACAAATTATTGAAGATCGGTCAATTAAACACATTGTACCATGTGAAGATGAAATACAGGAAGAAAGTAGTAGAATCTCTCAAGAGGGACCTATGGATAACAATATGTTTTCCATGAGAGAGAAGGAACACGTGTTATTTGTTGAAGCATTTAATGAGTCTCATCAAGTTGACATTGATCAGAATTCCAACAAGGAAACATCAAGCTCATTATGCAAAATGAATCAGGAAATTATTGGAGTTCATGAAGCAAGATGTTTACAAGAAAGTATTGAAAAGCCTCAAAATGAAAAATCCTATGAAAAAGAATGTGTGCGCCATGGCAATTCATTTGTTGACAAGGAGATCCCTGAAGAACACATTGAAGGGTCTGTTGAAAAACATGATAACAAAGGCAAATTAGTGTTTCAAGAACAGGTTTCACTAGAAGATGAAAGGCTTAGTGTTATTTCACCAAAGTCAATAAATCTTGATGCAACTCCTCAATCCAAGTTTAATGTTGATTCAGTTGGAAGACCAAAACGAGGTTCATAAAACCATTATTCCGCAGAAGCCTTGAAAATGCAACTGCTGAATATTTTCTGTCTGTTTTTGGCATGTTGATCATTATCCTACTTCAATTTCTTTTTCTTAAAAATTTATTTTTGCAGGTGCTACTTTATCAGACTCAATGCTTATTTCTACACCAGCTGTGAGAGAGCGTCCTCACTTTTCAAGGAAAAGAAAAGTTGTGTTATATAATAAAAGGGTTGTCCTATCTAATGAGTATGTGATAATAATTATATAAAATATTCTTACTAGCCCTTTTTAATTGTTCTTTCTTATTCAAATGTCTGAAGTTCTTCTGTCACACCATTGTATGTGATACAAACCTTTTGAAACTTATTTACCTTGCTTCCTTGTGCATAAGACTAGTGGTAAAGGATTGCCATGTATCTAGAATTTGAAGCTATTATCTATTTGATAAACTGTAACTCTAAATTTTTAGTATAATATGTCCATTCACATTGTAATTAATAAATGCCTTTCAAGAAAAAAATACATTGTAATTAATGTGTCACAAGTATATGAGGATTTTATTTAACCTAATTGAAAATTTTGCTTATTGTTAGAGAATGATGTGAAAAAATGTTATAGTTATTTTAGGAAATATTCTGTATATGATTGTACCCTAGAATTAGGCTTATTTACTTTGATTTCTTACTCTTATAGGAAATCCCACAAATAATTGGTTTTGACTCTTTTTTCTATCCTTTTCCTATCAAGGTTGTTGGTGTATACATCTAGACCATGTGTGTATCATCCAAATTTTGAATAATATGATAATATCCCATATTGTTCAATATCTAAGAGCATGGTTCCAATCTCTGATTGCTTCTGTTTCCAATGAAATCGTCTAAACACCTCTCTGAATCAATTGGCCTTCCTGGGCACTTGAATATGAATAATTTCTTATTATTGAATCTGAATAGGTACAATAAAATAAATAGGCATAAAACATAATCAATCCCTAAAGTTTAGGGATTTAGATAAAACTGACTAAGGAAACTAAACTAGAAAATAGGAGAAGATAAATTAGTATATCTAAACTATATCTTATAGAATTATCTTAACACTCCCCCTCAAGCTGGAGCATAGATATCATATGCATCTAGCTTGTTACATACCATAGTAGTCAATCCCGGATAGCGGAGCGGAGCGGTCGACCCTAAAAACGGGATAGCGGGATGACGCGGAGCGGGATAACCACTATTTTAATATTAATTTATATATATTAAATAATTAATAATATATATATAAAAGCAAAAAAAATAACTCTAATCTGCTTAATTAAATTAAAAAATTATTCTAATCAGAAATTAAAAAAAAATCTTCTGAATTAAATTTAATCAGAAATTAAAAAAAATCTACTGAATTAAATTTAATCAGAAATAAAAAAAAAACTGCTGAATTAAATTTAATCAAAAATTAAAAAAAATCTGCTGAATTAAATTTAATCAAAAATAAAAAAAAAAATTTTCTGAATTAAATATAATCACAAATTAAAAATAAAAATATGCTGAATTATAAAATAGAAGATGAGAAGACAAACAAAGAAGACAGACGACGTCGGAACTGGAGGAGCAGCGTCGGAACTAAAGGAGCGTCGGTCGGAACTGACGAAGTGCATCAGAACTGGAGGAGCGTCTGATAGAGACGCCTGAAGAAGACAACCGGAGTGTGCCAACGGTCATCCTCAAGAGAGAAAGAATCGAGTCCGAGAAAGAGAGAGGAGGGGGAGCGCGAGACGTTCAGAAACCAACAACAATGGTTCCGCGAGAGGGAGAGGAAGATTTAGGGCAAGAAAAACCCAACTGAAATGACGGACTTACCCTTAATGAATGCCCTGTCCAAGACGCGGCGCGATTCCGCCATTTTTGGCCGCTTCGCTCCACGACCGACGCGGCCGCTCCAGCTGTGACGGAAATCCAAGACGCGACAACATCACCATTGCGGTGTTGGGTCGCTCCGCTCCAGAGCGCCGCGATAGCGGCCGCTCCGGCCGCGATTGACAACTATGTTACATACATATGTTATCCTAGGACCTCGTAAAGATTTAGTAAAGATATCTGCAAGTTGATCCTTAGAGCAAACTGAGGTGGTCTTGATGATACCGGAGAGGATCTTTTCTCTGATGAAATGACAGTCAACCTCTATATGCTTTGTTCTCTCATGAAAAACTGGATTAGAGGAGAGGTATAAAGCTGACTGGTTATCACAAACTAGTTCCATATGACCAACCTTGCAAAACTGCAACTCTTGAATTAAGAATTTTAGCCACAAGAGCTCACATGTGGTGTGAGCCATAGCACGATATTCTGCTTCTGTACTTGATCGTGCAACAACACTTTGCTTTTTACTCTTCCATGAGACAAGATTACCACCCATGAAGACACAATAGCCTGATGTTGACCGCCTATCACTTGCATCACCTGCCCAATCTGCATCTGAATATCCAACAATGTCTGTATGTCCTCTATCATTGTAAACAAGTCCTTTTCCTGGTGATCTTTTGATGTATCTAAGGATTCGAACAACTGCAAGCCAATGACTCTCACAGGGAGAGTTAAGAAACTGACTTACAACACTGACAGGAAAGGATATATCAGGTCTGGTCATGGTGAGATAATTCAATTTTCCCACTAATCTCCAATATCTCCCTGGGTCATGATAAGGCTCCCCCTGATTAGGCATAAGCTTTACATTAGGATCCATGGGAGTGTCAACTGGCTTACAATCTGTAAGTCCGGTTTCTTCTAGAATATCAAGGGCATATTTTCTAAAACGAAGCTAGACATAACACACACATCCGGTTTAAATCAACCTAGCTCTGATACCACTAAATGTGACACCCTCTAACCTGCATGCCATAACACATAGATAACAAAATTTAAAGAACATAATCTTTCATAATTCAAATATCAAACGTGTTCAGATAGAGAGCACCACATCCATGACTTAATCATAATCAAACAGAAGTTACAAAGAAATAGTGTTAAGGTTTCCAAAATAATTTAATAAGAACAATGTGAATAATCAATTTTATTCAGACCCACAAAAGCAATGAAATGGACGTCTACTATGAAGAGGAGGATCTCCCAAAGTTTTTCAAGAGAGGATATGATTCGGAAAGCACTATACTTTGGTTGATCGACGTTGAGAAAATCTTCAATGCTATGGAGTGTCTTGCAAATCAAAAAGTAAATCTTGCTACTTTCATGTTGACTTCTGATGCTCACTTCTGGTGGGAAAGAGCTTTGCAAAGGATGATGGCTGAAGCAACGCTGGTTAATTGGGATAACTTCAAGAGGGTTTTCCTTGAGAAATATTTTCCTGACAATGTGAGGAGTCAGAAAGAGGTGAAATTCCTTGAGCTGAAGCAAAGAGATGGTACTATTGCTGAGTATGCTGCTAAGTTTGATGAGCTTGTCTGTTATTGCTCTCACTACCATGGTGAAGGTGGTGAAAGGGCTAAGTGCATTAAGTTCGTGAATGGCCTTCATCTTGAGGTGAAGGCAGCAATCAATTATCAAGAGATTTATCACTACTTGACGCTTGTCAACAAGTGTAGAATCTACGACCGTGACAATCGTGCGCATGCTACCTTCTACAAGGGAAATGGTTATGTTCGTGATGGAAGATTTGGCGGTCAGAGTAGGAGTAAGACTTACTCCGCTCCTGCCAAGTTTCAAGGAAATCATGCTAGAAGTAGATCTATTGTTGGAAACTCTTTCATGAGTGGTGCTACTAGTATAAGAGGCTCTGTTTCTACACCTACTAGTCAATGCAAGAAATGTGGACAAAATGGGCATGAACACTATAATTGTCCTTACAAGGAGATAACATGCTTCAACTGCAATGGCAAGGGTCATATTAGTACTCAGTGTCCACACTGCCAAGGCAACACATGATAGGAACAAGAGCTAGTTCTCAACCTAAGCGTCCAAAGACTATTGGAAGAGTATTTTCTCTTAGTGGTGCCGAAGCTACTCAGTCTGATAAATCTAATACAAAGTATTTGTTTCATAGCTAAAAATCCTTTTGTTGTACTGTTCGATTTTGGTGCAACCCATTCTTTTATTTCTCTTACCTATGTCCGAAAATTGAAATTGTCAGTGTCTTGTTTGAGCTATGATCTAGTTGTAGAAACCCCCACAGGTGGTCCTATAACTACTTCTAGTATTTGTCTTAAATGTCCAATTGTTATTTCTAAGAGGCAGTTTCTGGTTGACCTTATCTGTTTGTCTCTTAGTCAACTCGATATCATTCTTAGAATGGACTAGTTATCTTCCAATCATGTCCTACTAAATTGCTTTGAAAAATCCATATCCTTTGGTGAGAGTAAGTATGCGGAGGTTTTAAGTTCTAATAAAATAAAAACTTATTTAAAGGAAAATGAAAAGGTTTACATGCTTCTTGCCTATTTGACACTTGAGAAAGACCATGAGCTTAGTGAGATTCCTTTAGTGAGTGAGTCTCCTAAAGTTTTTCCTAAGGACATGTCTAGCTTACCACTTGAGAGAGAGACTGAGTTTTCCATAGACTTAGTACCTAGACACACTTTGGGCTCTATACTCGGGCTTGTGCGAGCCTAAGAATAGAAGGTGGGTTAATGACTGTTATTGAGGGGCTTAATGCTCACCTGATAGTTGTTAAGTTACTGCTCAGGTTGTTATTAGTAGCATGGGTTAATCATATTGAGAGGGTATGTTCCCTACTTGTGATTGATTCATGTGCTAGGTCTTTATTTATATGATAAGGGCAACCTGGGGACCAATAAATCTTAAGGAGTCTAGATCTACCCATAAAACCATGCACTAATAGGTGGACTTAATCATATTGCAAAATAGATTCAATCCAATTACAAAAAGTTGAACGAAAACCAAAAGCCTGAAAAACTTGTAACATAAATTTCGTCAAATGTTTTCTTGATGACTATCTTTAACACCAAATTGCTACCAAAAACATTATGATATATATGCAATCAGAAATGTCTTCCTTTGATAAACTACAAGAAAATTGTCATATAGTGACATACACCCTATAGTGACATAATAAGTGTCACTAAAAATTACTTTTACCCACACAATAAATATAATATATGTTGGTATATTGTTAAAAAGTGTAGGTATATACTATAGTGACACTCAAAATATGTTGTTAAATCACTACTAGAAAAGTGTCATTTTAAGAACCGCGCGTGAGAGCGCGTGAGACGGCGGATGACGGTAGCTCTCGACGGAGAGGCCGATCGGTGACCTCTGAGTGTACAGACGGTGTCAACTCCGGCAACCGCGAACAAAACTCAAAAATCCTAGAAACCCTAGATGTTGGCGGCTGGATTAGGGTTCCTGGACCAGAGAGCTCTGGTACCAACTTGAATATGAATAATTTCTTATTATTGAATCTGAATAGGTACAATAAAATAAATAGGCATAAAACATAATCAATCCCTAAAGTTTAGGGATTTAGATAAAACTGACTAAGGAAACTAAACTAGAAAATAGGAGAAGATAAACTAGTATATCTAAACTATATCTTATAGAATTATCTTAACAATGATACTTTGCTGCTAGGTGCTGTCATTCATTGCTGATTCCTAGCATCGGTCAGTTGTCTTTTCTGGGTTTCACCTAGTGTCAAATGAAGTGGATGCTTCCTGTGCTCTCCAATCAATGGAGGATGCTTGATTGCAAAAGCCTGGTGAACTGTAGAATATTTAGGCTGCATATAGGTTTAATAGAAAATATTATCTGAAATGGTCTCAACATTTTCACACAATACTGAAAAGAGGGGTTAATGGTTCATTGTTAGGGTTTGGGTATGTTTGAACGTGAGACCCCACAGGCAGGTATCTCTCACCAAAAGCGTGTTTCGAAAGCAGACAGCAGAAAATTCTTGGGCTTTTTCAAATAGTCCAGGGTAGGAGCATTTGCATAGTGGCTGAAGGTTGTTAGGATGCCCCTTGTATTGCATATATATGCCAAAACAGTCTTTGATAGAGGCCACAATGAAGCAGCACCGTCAAGATAGCCTTGTCACTACCCTTGAAGCAGCTTTGGCTTCTTGTCTTGGAGGGAAGTAGTGCGGATTCTGTCAATAGAATTGATGACAGATTATTTGACATTATTTTCGCTGATTTGGTGACCCTTTAAAACAACATATCTTACATGATTGTATAGCTGTAATTATGTAATTATATTCTTAATTAGCCCTGCTGTAGGTTAGCATTTTTTAGCAAACTTAAAGGCTAGAACTCAGATTGGAATCTTATTATTTAATAGAGAATTCTCCGGAGGAGAACACACAATTTTCACCTCAATTTCTCTAAGTTTTACATAGAATTGATGGCAGATTATTTGACAGATTCCTCAAGTGCTTATCAAATGGACCTTTTCCCTATGGAGGAGCTCACTTGGGTAGAAGAGGCAAGGGGATGAATCAAATTTGAGTGAGCATCAAAATTGGCACAACAGAAGTGGTATCAGCTCTAATTTTTTCTATTCCAAGCAACTGGACATGGATGCACAAGCCAAAATAAAGGCTTTGTTTCATGCTAAATTAAATGCACAAAAGAAGGAAAAGTGCATTTGAATCTCCACTTGTGAGGTAAAATGAATTTGTTCAACCTGTTTATCAAGTTTGTGATGTTGTTCTTAAGTCCGAGTCTTTATAGGATGCACACCAAGTTTCTCATAAGCATTATTAAGTAACCTAAAAGCTAATGCAGTTGGATTAACTCAGCATAAGTGCATAACAGTGCAAAGCATGTTACTAATACCAACTTTCCTTAGGCTAAACTAGAACATCCTTCAAACTCACAATCCAAACTGCTGGAAGGTTCACAAGAAGTGTCTAACCTTCAATCATCATTGGTGCTTCCAGTAGGGTTTTTTTTAATGACAAAGGCAAGAACTGAACTTTTAGCGACTTTGATTGAGGTAGAAGAGCAGGGGGTTTTGCTTAATGTTAGGTATTACAACTTGGAGAAATAGAAAGGTCATCATCTTCATGGCAATAATACTAGAGACAAATGTTAGCCAAGCCTCGGTGGAGATTAGGTAGACTTCAAGCAAGACTGTTGATATAGAGATCAAGCCAAGTTATTTGGTTGAGTTAGGTACCAAGTCCAAATTCTAAGATGGTATGAGAGTTTATTCTAGATTTATTGTTGGCCACCTGCATTTGCCATGCTCCAAGTTAGTAGCCCTGAGCATGAGAGGGAGTGTTGGAAAGCCCTCTTGATTGTGATCATCCCTATCTCGCCTTAGTTGTACTCTCTTTGGGAGTTGTCTTAATTGTAATATGAAGGATGGTGTTTAGTCCCACATTGACTAGAAATATGACTTAAATAGGGCATACAAAGCTTGGGCAATCTTTACTTTTGAAGTTGATATTGTGGGGTTGAGTTAGGTCTTAAGACTTTATTCTAAAATGCTATAAAAGCCTATTCTAGATCCACTATTGAGACACTTGCCTTTGCCACACTCTAGGTCAGTAACCCTGGGTGTGAGGGGGAGTGTTGGAAAGTCATCTTAATTGTGGTTAGTTACAGCCTTTTTGGTGGTTGTCTTAATTGCAGCCTTAAGGGTGGTGTTTAGTTCCATGTCGGATATGACTTAGATAGTGCTTATAAATTTTGAATTTTAAGATTTTGATAGAGATATGGGAGGAAAAAAGCTCCAAACACCATTTTGATTCCTATTTTTAGAGTAAGTTGAATATTTGTTTTCATCATTCTTTGTCTCATGCTCCTCTGCTTGTAACCACTTTCTTAGAATTAGTCTTTTAGGGTTTAGGGTTTATTTATCTGTAGCTTATGTGATCTAGTAAATGAAATAACAGTTGTTCTATTCATGATAGAATATTCAATTTTTATTTGTACATGCAAGTCTTGTTGCCCACAATTGAGTGTTGCGTTGAACTCTGATTGTACACTACATTTTGAAACATTTCAGGGTACTTAAAGAGAATATACGTGATGCAAGTAGCTTAGTTTCTGACCGAAGAAAATCCCATCGTACTGTACATACTGTGCTGAGAGAATCTCTCATTGCCAGTCTTCCTAATAGATTCTATGAGCCATTGCATCCTTGTAAGTCTGATTTATCATTTTTTCTTTTTGTTCATAAACTCTTGTATCTTTACTAACATTGTTTTTCTCCAGGTTCCTCAAATCTTCAACTCCTATTCTCTAAAAAGGAAATGAAAATACCAGATTCCCTTCGGATTATGGAAACTTTAGGGAACTTAGATGTGTCAGAATCTCAAACTGTTGGCAGTCCACAGCCAATAGCAAATATTCTACCAACCCCTTGCCACCACTGCCCAGATATATCTGAATCTCAGGCTTCTGGCAGTCCAGAGCATATAGCAGCTTCTAGTCCTCATGAAAACATAGAGACGGAGCAATCTTTGGAAAGGAATGAAGTGTTTAATCTGATGGATGAGGTAAGGAATAACTAAATGATGAAAATTTTCTTTGATGTTGTAACAGGAACACTGTAATTAGTTTTCCTTACATTCATCAATGTTTTCACACAAATAACGTAAAGAAAAACATTGCTGTTTAATCTAGTAACCTTGAATTTGTATGAAACTTTAGATTATATGACAAAGGGAGAAGATTGTTAGAATATATTTGATTATAGGTTATCCTTTAGGATTAGTTTACTCTGTATTTGATTTGTTTCCCATTTATTTAGCATTATACTATTATGATTAGTATAAATAAAGTTTAGTAATCTAGGTTTAATAATCATATTATAACACATCAGAATACTTGGGTATATTATTTATAGTTTCTATTTTTTTTTTTTTCAATTTCCTTCCTTTATACCTAAAACCTTATAATTCAGCATGATATCAGATCTACATCATCCTTTGTATCCTATCTTGCCATTAATCCATTTTTCAATTGTATTTTCATTTGTTTGAAATTCCCCACCCCTACCCCCACAATTTTCTGTTAGGGGATTACGAACCCTTCCATTTTCCTTTGCTCCTTCAATGTTATTTTCTTCACAAGCTTATTTAATTGAGTTAATAAGCCCCTCTTTATTTTTCTTGTTTTCTCATTATTCTTGGACTATGATCTAATTGATGTATCCTTGCATACATTATGGTTGTCTCAGGAGATAAATTCAAGTGTTATAGAGAATTCAGAATTATGTGAGAACTCTTTCAAATCTTCATTTATAAATTGTAATCATTTTTTAAAAATTTGTGTTTGGCATAGTAGTGCATATATAATTTCTTTAATCTTTCTTTTCTTTACTGTAGGTGGGTGGTCTGGTCGTACCAGGTGAGATATCAGTAGGCTTTTGGATTGTCAAAGGTTCAAATATTGTTTACAAGAGTGGCTTGTCTTCTTGATAATGTACAGGAAAGTTGCAAGTTACTTGCATCAAAGTTTTCTACATTCAAAGAAACACAGAGAGGAGGATGTTGTAAACTTTTCACAAGTTTTTGGAGGCCAAATGCGGAAAGAATCTGCAAAGCTATTTTATGAAATACTGGTACGTTCCATTTGTGTATTAAGATTATATTATTTCACAACTTGGTCCTCAGGTTGGAATATAATTCTACAATGCAAGGCAAAAGGGACTTATATCAGTTCTTTTGCTCATTCTTGGCAATCATATTTGGTAGCAGTTGATCATTTCAATAATTTTCTTTATAAAAATTTAATTTAATCATTTTACCCCAACATGAAACAAACTGGTTGAATGTATGTAGCTGTGTCTGTGTGGTGGTATAAGATACTTTTGCTTTTTGACCACCATAATTAGAGGAAAAACGTTTGGGAAAACTACCAGTTCATTCTTAGTTTAAAGTAGGACTGCAGCATTTTTTATTCTTGACTGCAAACGTAAGACTGCAATTGCTCATGATTCATGAAATGGACCTCATAATTAACAATTTTTATGGATGTTATTTGTGAAGTTGTTTTCTTATTGAATAGAAATTCAGCTCATCACCTGATCAGTGGAGAGAAAATGATTTTTAACATTGTTTTCTGTCTAATGTTTTTCAGGTTTTGAAAAGTACAGGCTATGTAGATGTGGAGCAAAAGGAAGCTTATGGTGATATTGCAATCTTTAAGCTCCCAAAATTAGACCAAACTTTTTGATTTGATAGTCTATTAAATTAACTGACATAGGTAGATATCAAAGGTGATATAGAAATAGAAAATTGGTAGGATTTGGTAGGATTCTTGTAGATTTATTTGTAGTAGTTTTTTCATTGTAGAATTATTCTTATAACTGTACAGCATTTTACCTGTCCTTTTTCATGTTAGCAACATTCTGCCAAATTTGTGGATTTCTGCCACAAGTTCCTTTGTACAGGGCAGAGTTAGAAACTTTAATATGCAAGTGATGGTAAAGTCAGAACTTCTAATTTCTCGCATTCGGCAAATGAGAGTGGTTATATAAAATTTCAAAAATGTTTTTGAAATCTAGAGAATGCCTTGTCTAAACTTGTTTCATTACTCATAGTCTTTTCTGAGTGGGTGAATCAAGTGCGCCATTTAACGTATGATTCGGAAAACGTTTTTATATTATCTTTGATGGGTGTCTTGTTTCTTGGAATAGAGAAAAAAACGAAGAAAAGTTCCACAATCAACTGGTCAAGCACGTACAAACTCATGCCTAGCTTAACTCTATTGATATAGTGATATACTACGCCGTCTCTCTATATATAAGATACAAATGGGGTCTCATTTTTGTCCTAATTATGGGGAACACAAGATTACTTTTAAATATATTAATAAGTGATTAATACCTTCGTCATTATATATAAGATTTTCCCCCCTCTTTTACAATTTTTTATAAGACATTCTTTTAATTGTAATTGCATTGCTTAATTCTTCTCTAAAGTACTTTTATTTAATTAATTTTTTTTAGATAAAAGATAATAAATGCTTGAATTAATTGAATAAAAATTTTCTTTCTCTTATTAGGATTGAAGAAGATGAATAAAGATATTGCTATCTCTTTTTTAAATATTAAATAATTATGTGAAAAATGATTAAGTGAAATGAAAAAAGGTTAATTTTGAAAAGTAATTTAAATTATTGATAAGCTTAATAATCTTGACTAAATTAACTAATTTTCTTAAAAAGTATAATTTAGTTGAATGAGATTTTTTAATTAAGGATGGAAGTGGTGTGTGTGTGTGTGAGATTACCAAGAACAATAAGCCATAAAACATAATCCATAAAAAATGTATAATATTCTCTAAGCCAATAAGCCGAATGAAAAACGAACTTTTATGACACATTTGTATGATTTTTTTTTATACTTATTATCTAATTCAAATTTTTATTTATTATATTTATCAACCCTTATATATTAAGCATGAAAGATTATTTTGCATTAGAGAGGTTTTAAGGTTTTTTATTATTTATTATTATTATTTTTAAATATTTTTATGAGAAGGTTTTGAGATTCTTTTAATTAACTTTTTTATTTAATTTAATTTTTTTATTTATCATATTTATTTATGTTAAATTTGAATATTTTTAAAATAAATTATCAATACATAAAATGATCTTATGCTACAATATAAATTATTTATTATAAATCTAAAATATATAATATATA